AGGTATTTATAATTGGATAACTTTCCAAAATAAATTTCCTTGATACCTATACGACTATACGTGTACCTTATATCTTGTGCTATCTACTATGCAACCATGAAAATTATGTGGCCAATGTGATGCATAGTATTTAAGTATAAATATATTATCGATCTCTCGTGTTATCGTACCACTTAGCTTTATGCTGAGCTTGTAGTCTTTTTGTCTACACGTATGTTGAAGCACAGAGTATGTGGACCACCCGGACGATGACGAGACGATAGGATGGCAGGTCAACATGCATGATTTTCACAAATATTGCGTTTGAAGTCTAGGGCATGACCCACATCATTGTATTTGTATTATTTAAGTCTTCCTCTATCTCCAACATTTTGTAAAGGATCGATCCGAATTTAGTATGTTGTATTTTGAGGTTTTGTTTTATGAATTTTATTGAATGATTTGGAAAAGGTTTTAAAAATATTGCTTTCGTTTCACCATAATTCTTATAATTCCGGGTTATACGAATTGGGGTGTTACACATGGAGACTATATTTTCACGGTTGGAAGCGAATTTGTTGAGTAACCAATTGATCTTGGGTGTGCCACTAGGTGCCATTGGTCGAGAGACAGTCAATCGGAACGTCAACGGTGATCAAAGTGGGCCTAGCCAAGCTTCTCAGCTTCATGCCCCATCCGAAGTTGGAATCTCTTAAATGCGAGGGTATGGAGCCATTACGCTAGTTATATAAGGTGCATGAATACTTCAAATTCTATGAGACACCCCAAGAGGATTGTCTAAAGTGTGTGGCCCTGATGTTGGAGGGTGCAATCACCCACTGATTCTGGTGGCACATGAATGACAAGCTTGTTGCTGACTGGGATGTTTTTGTGCACAAGTTTACGCTTTCGGTTCGATCCCCTACACTAGGTTGATTATATTAGCCAATTAGCCAAACTTCGGCAATCTGGCTCGGTTATGGATTATCAGATCGCATTTTAGAAAGTGTTGCAACATGTTACAAGAGCACGTGAGGAGACCCTCATCGCTTTATTCCATGTGGGTTTGAGCTACCACCTACAATATGAAATTTCTCTTTTGAAACCAACTAATCTATCGGATTCCTTTGCAATGGCACGCAAAATTGAAGCAAATCATAACTCCCTCATGAATTCCGTGACTCAGTGCCAATTTACTTGGGCTAAAACATCATCCCCGAGCACCCACAGGTAGTACCACGACAGTTGCCCCACACAAGGTCATGCCTAAACAAAAGCGCATCTAGTTCAGCGTATCACCGCGCTAAACGAATAGAAAAAAATGCAAAAGGTCATTGTTAAAAATGTGATTTGAAGTGGTCTCAGGACCATCGTTACGGTCATTATTTGTTATTGTTGGGCGACAACAAGGATGATGTTTCTGTAGAGGAGAGTTTCATCGAGAACGTTGTTAGTGCCAATATCTCCAATTTGAAAAGCCTCTTGGGTCTCCCTTCCCCATGATCATTTCGACTCACGGGCTTTTTCGGAAAGCATGAATAAGTATAAGTTCTAATAGGCGGTGGTAGCAATCAGAACTTTGTCTATCCAAATGTCCTCGCAAGAACCCATCTTCAAAAATTTGCTATGCTGCCATTTTAGAGTGTATCTCATTCATGATGATTATCTATTATGTGACAAACACTATGGCGGCCAATTTGGAATTGTAAGGGATTATATTACTTGTGGACCTCTTTGTGTTACACAAAATGTGCATGATGTGATGTTTTGAGTGTAGTGGTTGCAGCAATTAGGGTGCATATCAAACGATTACGCCACCCTCACTATGGAGTTTACTTTGTGACATATGACGGTCCTATTACGAGAAAGTTTGGCCACACCGAAAGACATCACTTTGAACTGTCTACATGTCCTCCGGGGCTTGACCTTGATTTCTGAATGCTACAAACTACCCTGTTTGGAGTCGGAAGATGTGCCAGCCAATCAGGAAGAGGCAGCACCCCTAGACTACACACCTTCTATCCATTAGATTATCTTTAATTTTCCCAAAGTATTCGAGCTACCATCAAGTTTACCTCCCTAGTGAGTCATAGATTATCACATATTCCTCAGTCCTAAGATGACACCAATTAATGTTAGACCATATCGATAACCATACAATTAGAAGACAAATCGAGATTTAGTCAAAGAAATGTTGGATTAGGGGATAGTCCGGCCGAGCTATATATAGTCCATTTTCCTCTCCGTTACTATTGGTCAAGAAGAAAGATGGGACCATTCTACTTGACCATTCTTTTTTGCTGAAGAAATAAAAGTGCACCTTTTGTCAAGACTTTATTAATTATCTAGGGCATGTTATATCAGGCGGCAACCTCAAGGTCGATGCTTCAAAAATCAAGCAAAATTGTAAACTGACAACGACCCACAACTCTTAAGAAACTATGGGGTGTCTTAGGTATTACGAGGTGTGATTGTCTATTTATATGTTAATACTCCCACGTGGTAGCTCCCATCACTAGCCTCTTTAAAAAAGACACATTTGAATGGTTCGCATCGGCACCATCAGCCTTCAAGCACCTAAAAGCTACCATGTCAATGGCACCAGTGTTGCAGTTGCTTGATTTCACTCTTTTATTTATAGTGCAGATTGACGCTTCATCCACATGTATAAGGCCATGCTTTTGCAGCAGGAGCGACCCGTGGAATTCTTTAACAAAAAGATTGGTCCATGGTTATTATCAGCTTCCACATACCATGAGGAATCATATGTTATTGTCGAGATAGTACAAAAATTGAGACAATATTTGTTGTGTTGCAAATTTTTTATCTAGACAAACCAACACATCTCGGAGGAATTAGTTCTACAAGTAGTTCAAACTCTAGATCAACAGTTCTAAGTATGCAAGTTTCTTGGGTTTCGTTTTCGAATCAAGTACAAATCAGGTGCCTCAAACCGAGTGGAAAATGCTTTGTCTGGGAAGGAGTAACATACGTTGCATGTACACACCATGATGACCATGTCATTTCCAGTACCTCAACTTTTGGAGAACATTCATAAGGAGAATACTATTGAACTTGATCTCATACAATTGCATACTGCCCATGCTAACAATACATTGCCCGACCACTTCTTAACCCATGATGGTATCTTATATTTCCAACAACGAATCTACAATGGCACAGGACCGAGATTACGAAAGGTCCTCATTAGGGAGTACCATGATACACCTCTGGCCGGCTATAACAGAATTTTCCAGACATTTTAGAGATTAAGAATGGTTTTTTTTATAGGAGAGAGATGCAGATGGATATAAAAAATCATATTGCGACTTGCTTCATTTGTCAAATCACAAAGTATTCCTCTCAACCCTTGGTCGGGTCGCTACACCCTCTCCCCATTCTGGTTCAAGTTTGGAAGGATCTTTCGATGGACTTAATTGCAGGTTTACCCCGATCTTGCAGGTTCATGGTCATCCTTGTTGTGGTTGATTGCCTGGCAAAGTTCATCCACATGGGAGCATTGTGTATAGACTTTGACGCTCACCTGGTACCATTTCTTTGTATTGATATTGTGGTAAAGCTGCATGGATTCTCGAAAACTATTACGTCGAACCGGGAAAAAACTTCATTAGTAAATTTTAGCAAGGCTACATTAGCTTAGTGGAACCACCCTTCAATTGAGCATGGATTTTCACCCCCAAAGTGATGCTCAAATAAAGGTAATGATTCGAGTGCTGGAGCAATACTTGCCGGCCTTCTCCCACGCCCAACCCAGCCGCTGGACGGTTTTTCTACCCTAGGCAGAATATGTTCTCAACACTAGCTATCACTTGGGCCTTAAAATTACTTTGTTTCAAGTATTATATGGTCGCGAGGCTCTGCCACTTCCTCCATATACCCTAGTCTCAAGTATCGTACCCATGGTTGAATCTTTGCTTATAGAGAAGGATTTGTTGCTTTATAGGTTATGCCAAAATCTAGAGGAAGCACTACAACGTATATGCACCATGACTAACTATCACCATCGAGAACTATCCTTCAGTGCGGGGGACAGGGTTCTACTCAAGCTACAACCATAATGACAACATTCGGTTTGTCGTGGCCATAATCACAAGCTCTCATGTTGTTGCTGGCCTGATCACGTACACATCTTATTTTCCATGTCTCATTGTTCAAGCCCTTTAAGGAAGGCTCTACACCATCCCATGTCATCCCACTTCCATTAGAATTCAAGGAGGGAAATCGGTTATCCCACCCCATTTGCATCCATGACTACTGGACAGTATTAGTGTGTGACAAACTTGAGCGACAAGGCTTGGTGGAATCGTCTAACAGGGATTTAAATGATGCAACTTAGGAACCCCTTGAATCTTTGAAGCAGCATTATCCCTAACTACACCGTGAGGACAAGGTTCCTTTCGATCAACCGAGAAATGTTGTATGCACAGTACGGGGGAGCAAGAGGTTGCCATGGAACTTGACTCATGAATAGAGGCATTGGATACGTGAAATGTATCAAGAGAGGCGATCACTAAGAGAGGCGTATCAAGAGTCTCTAAGTCTTCCCTATCCGATATGTGAAATGTATGAAGAGGAGCGATCACTAAGAGGTTACGAGAGGAAGGTCCTAATTTATTTGGCTCCAATACCATAAAATAAAATATGATATTCTCATTTATTAGATCAATTATTATACATGAGTATATAAATTGTGGAGAAGTGTCTCAGAGACTCTCTAAGATAACTATAGTATCTATCTAAATATAATTATCTATACATAAAATTTTAATATAGATATTTTTATTTAAAATTAAGCGCAATATGTTAAATTACTTAGTATAGTGACATGAAAATTTATGATATTGAAAGATATCAAATTTGAAGAATATCTCAATATCATCAAACACATAAAAGGATATTGATATCGAGTTATATAATAAAAATAATCAAATATGATCTATGAATGTAAATTGAGAATTCAAAAAATATGATCAATAAGACAATTAGCGATGGGTTCTTACCTTAAAAGGATCGCGACCACAAACGTCATTGTAGGGATTAGATTGTAAATTGCAGTGGCAAACGTTGCAGAAGTTAATGCTACACCTTTGAAGAACATATTTGAAAAAAGAGATCCCCTGTCATGCAGTTAAATGTACAAGGATATAGATTAAAATATGTAATCTTTATGTATATACATACAATTACACAAATTTTATTTTTGAAATTAAAATATTAAAGCAAGAGTTAAGATTAACATTATGAGTATAATTATTCGGATTGCACGAATCTCAAAGAAACTTTTAGTATAAATGCCTCTCACCAATGTGGAAATGATGTCTTATTCCCACTAATGGAGTAGACTAATAATTTCCGAATGTAAAATTCTTTATTTAAAATTTTATGTCCAAGTTCTTAAATATTAAACTTGTGAATGCAAAATACCTAATAATGGCTAAAAACTTAAATCCTCTTTAGCAAACTAGGTCGAATAAACCAAATAATGACATATAATATATAAACACTATAAAAATTATGTTAAACACCAATACATTATGCCAAACTGTGGATTTTTTATAATGCCAACACTCATATTTAAACATGTTTTTTAGGGTTGGAAAAAAAGATTTGAATGCTAAAAAGAATTGAATAAATTGGAAAAAATTGGAAAAAATTAGAGGAAGTTAAGAAAAACCAGAAGAGTCTAGGAAAAATTGAAAGAAAACGAGGAAGAACTCAAAGAAGGTTGAAAAACTTGAAGAAATTGGAAATGATGGAAGGGCCTGAAAAACTATAAAGAATTGAAAAAACCTAGAAAGAATTGGAGAATTTTTAAAACAAATGAAAAATGTTGACATTAAATATTAGGGTGATGCTAAATCTATACATATAAAGAATGAACGGTAAACTTTTCTATTTAACACAAATGGAATGAATATAGCCAAAGGTGGGGTGCATTTAGAAATAACTTAAATATTATACTTTTGAAACCACAAAAAGAAAAATGTTAAAATAAAAACATACTCTGATCTATATATTCTAACTTCTTCAATTTTATTCTAATTCTTTCTAGTTTCTTCTAATTATTTCCAGCTTCTTCCAAGAATGACTTCAAAAAATATTTAAATATATTTTTAATATTATTACTATTATTATAATAATAATTAGTGTTATTGTCGTTATTATCCTTACTATTATTATTGATATTGATATTATTATTATTATAGTTATTATATTCATCAAGGCTATAAGATAACAATGAAATATAAAGTAATGTCATACTCCCTAGGTCCCAAAAAGTCCTTCCTCTTTCTTTATTTTTGTATCCCACAACAAAGTCCTTCATTTTTTTAATTAAAAAAACCACTTTTACCCATACTAATTTTTACTCTGCCTATCACATCATACATATTTACTAATAATCTACCTATCACATCCTACTTTACTCATCACATCCAGGGTATTTTGGAAAGTCAACACAAAATATCTCGCCTTTAAATTTCTTTAAAGTCAAAATGCAAATAACTTTATGGGACGAAGAAAATACTATATCAGGAGTGTAAAACCTAGTGCAAGAGCATCATTTAGTGAAAAGGTTTGCTAGCAGTAAATGCCGAGAGGTGTTGCTCAATGCTTCGGTTAATTACCTCTTTTTGGCTATCCATTTGAGGATGGAAAACGCTACACATATGGCGTGTTGTGCTGCTAAGTTCTGGGGCCTTCAGCTCGAATTTACTCATTAAAACCTTGTCACGATCTTACACAATTGATTTTGAAAAACCATAAAGTTTGACCAGAATATTGAAATATACGTGCACCACCCGGTGGGTGTCGAAAATCTACATGCAAGATGCATGTACTTCAATGAATGATCCACGACGACTAAAAAGACAGTGGAACCTGGATAAGGCGGCAACCAAATAATGACATCGATCGGTATATCGTCCCACACACCCAATGCAATTATAAGAGGTTGTAGCAATCCTACTGGTGGTTGGGTGGAGTATTTTTTGGCTTGACACATGCAGCACAACGTTATGTAGCGTTGAACATTGACACACATTCCCCTATAATAAAACACCATGGCAAGGCGATGAAAAGTCATGTTTATGCCTGCATGACTTGCTAACAGGGTGTCGTGGTATTCCCGAATCAGTGTAAGGCGGATGTCGAAGTGTTGCTAATACACAACCATCTCCGGTAGGCAAATAATTCATTACCAATAGTGAAAGGAGGTGGGAATTCTCCCATGAAATGAGCATCATGCAATTGCTGCTATTTTGGTTTGGTGTACGCGGTTTTCACATCTTATCTCTAACATCACAGTGGAAATGGGTTGGGACGTGAGCATGAGGGCCTCGATGTGAATTTACCATTCTTCCCGATAGGATATCACATCTGCTTTGCTTTGCGTTTGATGTTAGACCTCATGATTCCAAGTGTATGGATGAATGACAAACAATGAAGTCAAGATTTTGTGATTGATAAACAATGAAGAAAAGCATGAAGTGAAGATTATACCAAGAGTGTAAAGCCTAGCATGAAGTGTTTAAGAATTCAAGACCGAAAATCCCAAGATGTAGGTCATTAGGTAGAACTCAATGTAAGACCAAAGTTTAATTTATCTTAGATTTTGGCTTAACACAAGTTATTTTTCATATGCATAAAATCATGGTTTTAATACTTGCATCTTGCAAAACCAAAACCATGACCATCGATTTCGACATTAGTTATGGTGTTCATTTTCAACCAAGTGGTTTTAATAATTTTATCTTTGGTTTCCTCTCATGGGCATATTTTAATATTTTATGCACCTTTACATTTCAAAAAACACTCTTGTTTTATGGTCATTGGTCTAAATACGTGAAAACCGTCTTTAACTTGATGGCTCGTGGTTTTGAGCTTGAAGGCTTGGTTTTTTCTTTTTATACCACAAGCAATCATTTTTAACAAATGGTTTTACTTTGGAAATACTCTGGTTTTTTGTGTTGGTTTTTTATATTGATTTTTGTTGACTGGTGTTTGGACTAGCAATAGTCGATTATCCCTAGGTGATAGTCGATTATCAACTTAAAGGTCAAACCTCATAGAGGTTCAGTAGTCGACTATGAAATGTTGATAATCGACTATCAAGGTGCTTCAGGCCAATTAAAAAACTTCAAAGAGGTCTAATAGTCGACTATCACCACTTTGACAATTGACTATCACAGTTACTATTGTCTTCTAGAATTTCTAGTGTATTCAGTCAAAGGTACCCCAATAATCAATTATAAACATTAGATAATTGACTATTGCACTATTTTTTCAAAATATTTAACCAATCTATTTTTGATTAAATCACAACGGGTACCCTATCTAAACCCAATACATAAAGGTTTTGACCTTGTTATTGGGTGAACAACCCCTCTCATTCTTTATCATTTCATTCATATCATTTGTGCATAACTTTTAGAGCTTTTATTGAGATAATTGAGAGAAAAGCTTGTGTTGTTCATAGACCTTCATGGTATCACTTTATCTACTCTTTGTAGAGAGTTCATATTGTAAGAGAGAGGTTTGAGAAGAGCAATTTTTCTCATTAGTGTTTGGTTTTCTAAGAACCCAGAATCTTAGTATTTGAAGTCTTTGGCGAGGAGTGTGTGGTGGGAGAAATGTTTGGGTAAGAGTCGTAGAGGGTACATCCACGAGAGATTGAAGTCTTGGAGTGGGGTATCTCTGAGCAAGCGTTTTAGAGGCTTGTATAACTCGAGTTCTCAGGTTGTATCAATTTTTTAAGCACTCTAAAGCTTAACGAAATTAGTAGGACCTTCGAGAGAGCCTTTTAGGGGACTCGACTAGCCATAAGTTGTGAACTAGTATAAAAACGGTGCATTCTTTCCTTACACTTTTACTTCTACACTTTACTCTATCCCTATGATTTTTAATCCGTGAAAATTAATCAACATTCTCGTGCCTCACTATCCACCCCCCCACTAGTCAAGGGCACATATCCTAACACTTGATGCACCGGACTTGTAGTCGACACGAAAATGAAACCCCATAAACTTTGAGACATAGAATTGCTAATCTAGAGTTCGAATCACTTGTTGTAGTAGTTCCTTTAGACTCCGTTGATCTGTGCAGATAAAAAAAAATTCATTCCCAAGTAAATATTGTTTCCATTTATGCACCACCTTTACGATAACATACAACTTTTTGTGATAGGTCGAGGTTGCGAGTTTCCGCGGCCCAAGATTTTTGCTAAAATATGCAATGGGTTGTTAATGCTGAAGAAGGACTACCCCAATGCCGAAGGAGAATGCATATGTTTTGATGACACAGAGGATACAAAAATTAGGTAATTGTAATAGCGCGGCTATCATCATTGCTTCCTTTAATCGATCTAAGGCATTTGAGCTTCAGCATCATATCCTAGTGGAAGGCATCCCATTTTAAAAGATCTGTAAGGGGGCAATAAGTTGAGAGTAAAATTGGACAAATAATCAATAATAACATGTGAGCGCCAAAAAACCCCAAGAGTTGTCGCAGGGTAGTCGAATATGGCCATTGAACCATGGCCTCCACCTTTGCTTCATCTACCCTTAAATTACTTTTCGTGATGATATGCCCTAAATACTCGATGGCAATCTTGCCAAAAGAAAACTTGGAGTATTTGATGAAGAAGTTGTGTTCTTGGAGCAAGGTGAGGACCGTGCAGAGATGCGTTTGGTGGTCGGCCAATAAGGGAATATAAATCAGAATGTCGTGGAAGAGGACAATGACATACTTACATAAATAAGGCCCGAACAATCTATTCATGCAATCTTAAAATGTTGACGGGGCATTGGTGACTCTAAATGAAATTACGAGAAGCTCATAGTGCCCTTTGTGTGTCCAAAATGGGGTCTTATAGATATCTTTCTCATGATGATAACCCGATTGCAAATCCAAATCTGTAAAATGCCTTGCACCCCAAATTCATCAAATAGCTCATCGGTTGTTGGAACGGGGAAGTGATTCGGGGCCGTGACTATTCAGTCACAAAATATCATATTTTATTCCCTCAATTCTTAGTACTTTTAGAACATTTTATATTCATTTGAAAGTATGGCACCAATCCCCCCCCCCATCTTTTTTCAAAACATATTTCTTAAGTCCA